TCATCTGATGATGTCATCTGATGATGTCATCTGATGATGTTATCTGATGATGTCATCTGAAAGTTCAGCCTGTTGATGTAAATCCTGCTGAGATGTCAGCAGATAGACCAGGGTTCCTCGTTGTTACGCCTCGTTGCCTTGGAAACCAGGAAACTCTTCATCTTTGTTCTTTCCTGGTTAAAAGCGAACCGACCAATCAGGAGATGATAATGGGATCAGATGTTTCTATAGTGAGCAGCGCGGTCCTGGAGCCCCGCCCTGATCAGAGTCCCTTTGATGCTGGTCTGGGTTGGTCTCCTCTGTTTATCCAGCATAAAGTGGATTAGCTGCTTTTATCAATAAATGTGGAATAAAACGCTCCAATCATCGATCATCTCGTCTGTTTCTGTTGTCAGATCTGAAGAGAGAGGCGAGCATCTGCCACATGCTGAAGCACGCCCACATCGTGGAGCTGCTGGAGACCTACAGCGCAGACGGAATGCTCTACATGCTGTTTGAATTGTAAGTCCAGCTGGAAGGACAGACTTCCTGTTGGCTGTTATAGAGCGGGGGGGCGGCTAGGTCGGGACCCGTCCCTTTGCCTCCAGGAGGCCCTAGGCCTCCATCATGGCCGGCAGCCTGCCGCTGTGTCCTTGAGCAGCTCCTGTAGCCGCTCTAAGGGTTTTGAACCCATAACCTCTCAGTAGAAACGGGACCTTTGGGTTGTTGTTCTGAGAACGGCAGCTTCTTCCAGATGTTCTCCAGGTGATTCCAGCTCCTCCTCAGCTGACCTGTCCCCCTCCCCACCTGTTTCTGTCAGCATGGACGGGGCCGACCTGTGCTTTGAGATCGTGAAGCGCGCCGATGCTGGCTTCGTCTACAGCGAGGCGGTGGCCAGGTAAGCTTTCTACCTTTAGACTTTCATTCAGGCAGAGCGCCTTGCTAAAGTATTCACACCCCTTATGGTTTGGAATAAGTGACATTAAGCTAATTAACCAAGCTTTATTTATAGCACCTTTCTCAGACGAGCGCCACATTATTAACCAGCTGTCAAAGTCAAGCAGGTAGAATATTATCAAAGAAACAGAGATTCATTCCCCAGATTAATATTTAAAGCTTTTATTTCTGTTAATTAGGATAATTTAACATCTAAAGCTCATTTAAAAGACATTATTTAAGATCAGAAAAATGCATCATATTAATAGAAACAGGTTAATCCCAGCCTGTCGGTTGCTGTTAAACCTCTGGTTGCTGAGAGGTTCAGATTAATCCTGTAATGGTCACATGACCAGGCCTCCTTACAGCCAACCTGCACATCTGGAAGACGTCAAACCAAGAAAAACATCCTGATAAACAATCCTGACTGCATAATGAGAAGAATTGAACTTTATTGATCTCAGACTGGAGGAATTCCCTCCCAGCCTTTAACCCCTCCCCTCAGGGAGCAGGGGGCTGCCACTGTGCGGCTCCCAGGGAGCAGGGAGGGGTTAAGGGTCAGGCTCAGGGACCAGAGTGCAGGATGTGAGAGTGGAACCTCTGGGTTCCCATCTCTATGTCCTAACCACTAGGCTGCCCCTCCCCCACATGACATCACTTCATGTAGCTGCTAGCATATAGCATGGCTAGCAGCTACATAGCAGCTCTAAGTAAACAGGTTTTAATCCCACATCAGAACTCCTTATATTCCACTGTATGAGTCATCCCAATGCACAGGTGTGTCCGCACAGCAGGACACGTTTCAGGGGTGTGAATACTTCCCTACAGACCAGCAAACCCAGCAGTAACGCTGTGATTTCTTTACTGCAGCCACTACATGAGGCAGATCCTGGAGGCGCTGCGGTATTGCCATGACAACAACATCATCCACAGAGATGTCAAGGTATGTCCTCCATCTGCAGCCTGCAGAAGCCAGGCAGGCAGAGCTAGAGCTTATAGATCCACTCTGACCCACTTCCTGTTTGCTGTGGAAATGAGTTTATTCATTGTTTATTGATTCAGAGGTGGACTGTTCCCCCTCCCTGTAGATCTCACCTTTCATGAAGGACCACAGGTTCTCCATGGGGTTCAGATCAGGTGACCAAGGCGGCCATGTCATTGTTTCCTCCTTTTAGCCTTTTCCTGGCCGCCACGCTGTGGTGTATTCTGATGCGTGTGACGGAGCATCGTCCTGCAGGAATATCAGGTGTTTCTGGCCGCCACGCTGTGGTGTATTCTGATGCGTGTGACGGAGCATCGTCCTGCAGGAATATCAGGTGTTTCTGGCCGCCATGCTGTGGTGGATTCTGATGCGTGTGACGCAGCATCGTCCTGCAGGAATATCAGGTGTTTCTGGAATGATGGCGACTTCTTCTTGTTCTGCTGTTTGAAAAAAGCGTCTTCCAGAAACTGGCAGTAGGTCTGGGAGTTGATCTTGACTCAATCATCAACCTGAAAAGGTCCCACAAGCTCATCTTTGATGATAGCAGCCCACAGCATTACCCCACCTCCACCTTGCTGGTGTCTGAGTGGATAAGGAACTTGCTGCCCTTTACTGATCCAGCCTGGTGCCCATCCATCCATCTGGACCATCTAGACTCTCTCTCATTCCATCAGACCCAAACACCTTGGAGGAATCAGTCTGCAGAGATTTCTTGTTCCAATCTTGGCGTTTTGTCTCGTGCGTCTTGTTCAAAGGTGGCTTTTTTTCAGCGTTCCTTACCTTGGCCAGGTCCCTGAGGATTGAGCAGCTTGTGT